GGAAGCCGTCCAAGATCCTGCAGCCCGGTAAGCAAGCACTGCTGGCTTTTGTAATACTCAGCATGGGAAGGAAGGGAAGAGCCATCTCACCAGGCTGGCGAAGGAGACCTGCCTTCACTGCCCACAAAGCAAGGTCTTTGGAGGATTTCCATGGAATTGTGAGTTCTGTACCATAGAATATGTGTCTTAGAACCATGGTTATGAGCATACAGAATCATAGAATCATCACAGAGTCACAGAACGGTTTGGGTTGGGAGGGACCTTAAGGACCATCCAGTTCCAACCCCCCTGCCATGGGCAGGGACACCTTCCACTAGACCAGGTTGCTCCAAGCCTCATCCAGCCTGGCCTTGGACACTTCCAGGGATGGGGCATCCACAGCTTCTCTGGGCAACCTGTCCCAGTGCCTCCCCACCCTCTCCAGGAAGAACTTCTTCCTGATATCCAATCTAAACCTCCCCACTTTCAATTTAAACCCATTACCCTTTGTCCTGTCACTACAGGCCCTAACATTATTAAAGTCACTATATGCAACAATACTATACATTAATTTTCCTACTTTACACAGAAGCCTAAAAAGAGCAGTGGATTGTCCTTGTTGTGGGGACAACCGGGAGCTTCTCCATTAAAATTTTATATACACTTCCAGGAAAATATCTCGGCTAAACAACTGGGATATAATTGTTCCGAGGTGTCAGTAAGGGGGGAGGAGGGGGTTGTGTGTGGGTGGGTGGTGGTGGTGGGAGGGAACATGTTTTATTAGCCATCCCCCTTTTGCCCTCCCATCCCAAATATTAAGGTACAGGTTTATTTCTGTGGGGAGCCTCTTGCACAGAAAACTTCCTCTGTTCTAGACCAAGGTTCCCACTCCTGGGATGGGATTCTGGCCAACTGGAGTTCCTGTGCAGACCTCTGAAATGAAGGGGGTTTTGACTTTAGACAGGACAGCAGGTAGAGTCAAGCCTAGGCCTGAAAATCCTCACAGGGTTTTAGCGCTGAAGGGTTAGCCACGGGGTTTAAAGCCCTGAAAAAATCGTGGGCTCTCGGTGCCTCCCCCCTCTGCCACACCCCGCGTTAGGGACGCTCTTGTCAGCCGTTTGTGCTAATGCTCGAGCGTGAGTCCAGGTGCCGCAGGGCTTGACTTGCTAAGCTCGACAGAGGATGCTCCGCCGCGGAGGCCTTGTCTTGTGGCTGTTGTGTAACACTGTCTGCAAGGCCAGGTTGGTGACAGACAAGGTACGAAGCCCGGTGCATCAGCTGTGTGAGCAGCACGTAGTTCACAGCGTTCGATGTCTCTTTCCTTGAAGCTGGAGGGATGCTGGCCAAATACATTTGTCAGCTTACATCCTGGATTCGTTAATCGTGCTGTCCTCTGAGGCTTAGCAGATGTCAAGCAGCTGCTGCGAGGCCTTCCCTCCCCCAGCAGCTTCTACAGCTGAACAGAGCAGGAGCCCTGTCTGTACTGAGTGGTGGCGGGTTCTGTCTTTCCCCTTCAGCTCCACTGCAGCTGAGAAATTTTCGGTGCGGTGAAGCGGAGTTTGTGTCGCAAGTGGGACCTCGGCTGAGCCTGCTGTGCCTGAACGTGGAGGAAGTGGAACAAGACGCCTTCAGCTATCTCAGCAGGGAGAGGGTTTGGAGGATGTCTGCTCACTGCCGGGTGGGAGCCACTGCTTAACATCTCTCCCAGTGGGAGAGGCATGATGGACACATGGACTGGGATCGGAAGCTTGTGTTTTAATCCCCTTTCCAGTGGGAGCACGCACCTGTCAGCACAGGGTGATGGGGGCAGTTGGGAAGCAGCTCTGACTCTGGAATTCCTGAATGGTTCTGGACCCTTGCCAGCAGCCATGCTGGGCCACGTTTTGGAAGAGAGATGTTCAGTACTTCGGGCCTGAGCCACACAATGTGTGTATTTTATATGGTAGCATCTACTAAATAAAGCTATTAAAATGCAGATTAAATAACACCATATCTGCTTTAGCATCAGGGTTTACTAATATGGGGGACGAGGCAGAATGTAGATCCGTGGAGTTTGGGCCATGGGCAGGCACTTTGCGGCTCATTCAACTGTCTTCCTGCAAAGCTGTACGGCTGCCACATGGGATAGACTTCTTAGCCCAGTTGAAATTCCTAAAGCATTTCCTTCCCCCAAGGAGAGAGGGGAAGTGAGTAAGTTGCTGTTTGGAGGCTCAGCCATGGTACTGAATCAGAGAACTATACAGCCTTTGTTTTGCCATTAAACCGTGGCCTGAACGTTGCGGTGGAGCTGGCAACAAGAGGCAGGCAGTGAGCTGGGATACAGATTCACCACACGCCACAGGCTGTTCCCGACTAGGAGAGGGATGACGACCGTGGCACGTGCCGGTACCCGCAGTGGCACGGCAGACCGACCGACACAACATGGGACTGGGGTGTCTCCCATCAGCTTGCAGCGATGACGGAGAGCGCTGTGCTCGCTCGTGGCAGAATGACATCCACGTCCTCCGTCTTGCGCTATGGGCGACTGAATCCCGCACACGGTTACTTTTCCCCCCTTGTCCCGCCCGCGGAGCTGACGGCGCATTTGCGCAGCTACTCCGGCTTGGGTTTTGTTTGCTCGAGGTTTCCCCCTGCCCTTCCCCTTTAGTTTGAGCTTTATCCTAAACTTCAGGCAGTGGGTTTATTGACCACGTGAAAAGGGTCTTCTCTCTCAAGGCCTGCCCGGCCTCTTCGAAGAGCAGCGCGTTGAGTGGCGCAAGACCCAGCAGATGCCATCGTTCAGCAGAAGGGAGGCTGCCCAAGCACCTTAAAGCAAAGGTCTGCACGGGTTTGGCTGCGACGGTCTTTCTGGTTTTTCTGTAGGTGCTTTCTGCAAAATGGCAAAGATTTTGCTAAAGCTTAACCCCCACCTTCCCCGAAGAAAACAAAAGGGGAAAAAAACCACCACCAAAATTAACTGTCTCAGCCTGGGGAGAATGTTGGCTGTAAGCGAGGTAAGCTGAAGACCTCAAAATCTGACGAAAAAGTGCAACTGGAAGTAGCCCTGTGCTATGAATGACGTAGTAACAGAGTGCCACAGAAATGACAGCAAGTGCCAGGGAGCAGAGGCTTATTTAAAAACAAAACAGGCCGATTTGTCTCTTATTTGTTTAATAACTGTTCACTTCTGAATCTGAACGTTCCAGGAGTATCTTACCAGCTCCCTCTTTTCCTCGTTAGGTGTGTTAGCCCTCTGCCTGCCTCCACGCCCGTCCCTCTCTCATTCCACGTTACAAGAGCCCCATGTGGGACCGTACACACCCTGGCTGCCTCGGCCAGGTTGGCAGACCCCACGCCTAACTCCAGGCCTGTCGGCCGTTTTCTGATCCGTCAGTCTTTGGCCACTGGCAGCGTCTTGTCCAGGAGGGGAGTTTGGTTAGAGCCTTCTGAGCAGGCGGCATAGGTTAACCATCTCTCCTGTTCACAGTTGTATCGGCACGTTTAGAGAATCCCAGAACACGAGACGGATGAATCGAACCTCTCAGGGGAGGGGCGGGGGTAGGGACTTAAGATTTCCTTGCTCTTAGTACTCTGAAGGACCAGTTCTCGGATGTGCTCCAGGAAAGCCGTTTCCTGTTTGTGTCTCCAAGCTTCTGCCCGTGGTCAGAGTTCTGAGGAGTCCAGAGGAGGCCACGGAGATGCTCCGAGGGCTGGAGCCCCTCTGCTCTGGGGACAGGCTGGGAGAGTTGGGGGTGTTCAGCCTGGAGAAGAGAAGGCTCCGGGGAGACCTTATAGCCCCTTCCAGTGCCTGAAGGGGCTACAAGGAAGCTGGGGGGGGCTTTTTACAAGGGTCTGTAGTGACAGGACAAGGGGTAACGGGTTTAAATTGAAAGTGGGGAGGTTTAGATTGGATATCAGGAAGAAGTTCTTCCTGGAGAGGGTGGGGAGGCACTGGGACAGGTTGCCCAGAGAAGCTGTGGATGCCCCATCCCTGGAAGTGTCCAAGGCCAGGCTGGATGAGGCTTGGAGCAACCTGGTCTAGTGGAAGGTGTCCCTGCCCATGGCAGGGGGGTTGGAACTGGATGGGCTTTAAGGTCCCTTCCAACCCAAACCCTTCCGTGATTTTTGGTCACCGGGTTGCTTCAGACAGGAGAACACATCTCGTTCCTGGCAGCAGTTGTTCCTTTATTTATGCAACTCTCCTTACCGCATTCCTCGCTCTCTGAAGGCGGAGAACGAACACGTGCTGTTGTCGGCACGTGGAAGTAACAACGCAAGGGAGGAATGGGCTGGCTTCACGTTTGTGCTGCTGCCTGCCCCAGAACTGGACGGAGCTCTTAAAGGTCTCAGCCCAAGAGGGAGCAAAGCGTGTCCTGCCGTCTGTCCGTAGCTGTTCCGCGCGGGAAGATGGGGATGTTCCTTTTAGCTGATCTTCTGTAGCTCTTGGGTTCGTCGCCAGTTACCTCCAGGGCCCACCCCTGGAAGCCACGGCTGGCGAGTGCAACCAGCCCTGCCCGAGGCAGCCCTAGGGGGTACTGTTCGCTGAAGGTACTGCTCCGTGCCGTGGAGTCGGCAGAGGAAAGCGGGTGCAAACGGCTTGTAAGGCAGCGGGCCTCTCAGGGAGGGGGAGGAAAAAGTCCACGCTGCCTTGCAGTCAAGATTCTGAGGGTACGCTGGGCAGCAAGACATCTGTTTCGGGTCAGAGAGAAGGTTGAGGAGGGAAGGAAAAGAGATCGAGGGGACGAGTCATCGATGACTGTCGATGGAGTAAGAGAAGACGCTCTAAAGGTGCAGAAAGTGAAGCGAGAAGCCAGGAGGGAGCCAGTGGGAGGGACAAGCCATGCGTCCCACCTAAATCTGGGGGTGGGGAAAGGATGGGGACAAGGGAAGGACACGTCCTCCTGTTCTGGCAGGCGTGAGGTAAGCCTGCTGCTGTAAAGAAACTCAGAAGGTCTGCGTCTACCAAGCGTAGGTGCTTATGAGCTTTGCTTTCCAAGCTCAGCTCCACGTCCAGGAGTGCTTCCGATTGTTTCACAGGGGCTTTATATCGGCAGCAGGTACAGGGGAAGCAGAAGCATCCAGTGGCGGGCCGAAAGGGAGGAGGACACCGACGCTGCGTTCAGGTTCACCAGCTGCAAGTTGGTCCCCCTCGTGATACTGAAATCTGCAGCAGGAGAGGGAGAGACTGCCAGAAGGGGGAACACAGCAGGGAAGGCAAAACCAGGGGGTATATTTACTCCTCTCTATTTTTCTGAATTTTGATAAAAATAGACCCTTCCTCTTGTGCTGGAGACCCACTGATACGGAGCTCTCGGCATAGAAGAGCTGTGACCCTGCTCACGTAGAACAGGAAAAGGTATCCAAGCTTTTTTGGGAAGTTTGCTTTCCTCTGAATAAGGTGGCCTTTTAAATAAGGGGAGGCGGGCTGGAGTCAGGGAGATTATCGCCGGTATCAGCTAACGGGGCCTGCCAGTTCGATATGCAACAGGGTTCTAAGCTGGACTGGCCAAGGAAAAAGTGCCAACAGCCGGGGGTTTTGGTTAACAGGCAAAGGAAGAGATTCTTTTCAAGTGTCTCCTTCCCTCCCTCCAGAACAGGGAGTTCTGTCCCCACTCCTAGGGAGCGATTGTTACTGTGAGGAGCATCAGAAACAGCCGGACCAAGCACAGACCCTTCATCCCGGGGACGGAGATGCGTGCTCGGATTAGGGGCGGATTTGAGCCCTTTCCTTGGCTGACGTGGGTGCCGCAGGAACCCCCCTGGGTGACGTTAAACTCTACCTGTCACTGTGATGTTGCCTGTAGCCTTGGCGATGCCATTTTCAATCACGCAGGTGTAGGTGGCGTTAGCCGTCACGTTGCGCAGGAAGGAGACCACTTTCAGCGTGACGTTCTCCGCGTTCAGCTCGTAGCTGGTGTTGGCAACATGGGGTAGGTCCTCCCCAGCGTCGCTGTAGGCTGTCCAGCGCACGGCGGGTCGAGGGAACCAGCGCGGGGCTTCGCACTGCAGCGTGTCCCCGCCACCGCTGTTCTCCACGAGGACCCTGGGCGGGCTGAAGGCTTGGGGAGAGTCAGAAAAGGGCAGATGTCTGGGAACTGGGTGTGAAGCATCCGACGGCATCAGACCCAGGTGTTTCTGGGCTACTTGCTTAGCATCGCGGCACCGCGCGTAGCCAACGCAGGGAGGCTCGGACAGCCGTCTGTACGGCTTGGGCTGCAGGCGGGGTGACTACAGGGGATCTAACGACTCCTGGGAAAGGGCAGTCCAGTGTGACAAGTTCTGCTGAGGTCACAGAGTCACAGACTGGTTTGGGTTGGGAGGGACCTCAAAGACCATCCAGTTCCAACCCCCCTGCCATGGGCAGGGACACCTTCCACTAGACCAGGTTGCTCCAAGCCTCATCCAGCCTGGCCTTGGACACTCCCAGGGATGGGGCATCCACAGCTTCTCTGGCCAGGTCACGGCACAGCTGCTCATTGAATATTTCCCCAGAGCTCCTGGACAGCTGAGCTCCACGGGAGACTGTGCGTAGGACCCGGCCAGCCCCAGACTGCCCGTGTCTGCCAAACACCCGGCTTCCCCAGGCGTGAACCGCAGCCGGTATGGCTCTGCTCACCTCTGCTGAAGGTGGGTGGCTGAGGCACCTATTTTTGGCAGGGAGAGACACGCTAAAAACGATTGCTGTTACCAGAGACAGGGGAAGGGGAAGATGAGTCACCCTCTCTGCTGACTGAGAAGGGAGCCTGACCAACACCTACCCCTTGGTGATGCGACTGGTGCTAACTGGGGCTGCAGCCGGGGGAGGCTCCGTCTGCACCGGCTGGGGCTGAGGGCAGGCAGGTCTGGCCTGAGATGCAGGATTTCTGCTCACATCCCTCAGTTAAACGAAACGTTTAAAGCCCGTTGCAAACTCAGCTGTGTTCTGAAGCCAAGACCATCTCAAATTAAAGTTTGTTGGCCTTGGTCTCTGTATATTCATCGTATTTCCCACGTGCACGTAGGTGAAGAGAGTCAAGAGCTTCTGGGGCGAGCAGAGTTCACCAATTTCCATGAAAATAAAACCTAATGCAGCATTTCACACATTTTCTCTAATGCCTTTTCTGTGTGGGTTACTTTAAACACCAAATCAAGTGACACAGAAGTGGCAGATTCCCCAGGTTTCAAGGAGGGGTAGGAGACAAAGTCCCCACGGGACTTACACACCTCAGACACAAGCCAAACCCTCTGGCCCTGCTGTCACCTCCTATAGTCCCACGCAGTTCTCCCACCCTTGCCATTGCAAGGTAAGGGGCCGGTGAGCCCAGCATTCTTTTTTCCCACTGCCTGGGAAAGTGCTTCATGTAGCAACAGGGCAGAAAACACGATTTCGATACAGGGTGGGAGACGGGAAATCGACACTGGGCAGGTGTTCCTGTGACACCAACCCCCCTACTGCCTTCCTGTCCCAGGACGGGCTCCCTGTGAGTGATGTGGGGAAGTGGCTGGCCTCAGCACATAAGCAATCACCCATCCTAAAACTGCAGTTCCTTGGTTTGGGGAGCTCTGACCGTTTTTCCCCTTCCAGCTTGAGCTGTTGGGCTCAAGGGATGTGCTGGATCCTCAGGGATGTCAGCAAAAGCCAGCCAGAGGACCACAAAGACAACCTGCCTGCGCAGGCTCATGTTATCCATATCGTATTGTCCGTGTAACTCACTGCAGTTTCATTAGTCCCAGAGGTGATGGAAACGGGCAGAACACTGCTGACTTCAGTGGGAGTGGATTGCTTTGTGCCAGCGGTGAGTGTGACAGCCAAGACCAGAGGGTCCAGAAGAATTAAGCACCCTTGGGTGAAAATTCATAGAATCACAGGATGGTTTGGGTTGGAAGGGACCTTAAAGCCCCCCCAGTTCCACCCCCCCTGCCATGGGCAGGGACACCTTCCACTAGACCAGGTTGCTCCAAGCCTCATCCAGCCTGGCCTTGGACACTTCCAGGGATGGGGCATCCACAGCTTCTCTGGGCAACCTGTCCCAGTGCCTCCCCACCCTCTGTGTCTGTGTGTGATTTGAAGTTGACTCGTAACAAGGTGAATGATTAACTCCAGCAAATATGTAATACTTCATGTAATATGGGCCGTTCTTTGCTTTGATGGTGATTTTTAAAAACCAAATACATTAGAAAACTAGAAAAAAAGGTATGAAATAGGCTACAATTTTCACTATGCAGCACTTGCAGCTGGAGATGGATCTTAATCTAGAGGGAAGAAGCTGTCATGTTATCTTGAACAGGTATAAAATCTGAATCTTTCTAAGATCAATTAGCCACTCCCATTCTTAGGGGCTCTTTGTAGTCAGTTAAGTAGTGGGGAGACTACAGGTGGTAAAGAGAAGAAAAAAGACAACGGGGTGCATTAGAATAATCATCTTCTCCATGACAAGGATGCGGAAAGAGCGGGTAAGGCCTCTGGAAAATCCAAAAATACCCCAGTCTTACTCAGGGGCTGCTGGAGCAGCGGGCACCGCTCACACAGCCCCTAACATGGGCGCAACCACGCGCAGCTCTGACCGAGCCAGGTTAGCCTGCCTTTTGCAGCAGGATTTTGTTCCTCGCACCCCTCACCTCCCGTCCTGTACCGCAGCACTGCCGCCCCGCTCCCTCTGGCCGTGGTGACGGAGCACTGGTAAGTGCCAGCGTCAGAGAGCTGCACGTCCCTCAGCTCCAAGGAAGCGTTGCCACCCATCACCTGGTCAGCGAACATCGCTGTGCGGCCCTGAAACGAGGCATCTTGCTCTTGCAGGTGGTCCTTCCCACCCTTAAACTCGTGAACCAGCCCGGCTACTCCTGCCTTGGCCCAACGGATCGCTATGCTGCCCATCTGGATGTCAGGCTCGAACGTGCAGCCCAGGATGCTGCGCTGGCCAATGTTCCCTGGAGACGTCAGCCCCGTCACGCTGATGGAGCGTTTTCCTGCAAGGCGAAAGCAAGACGGTGAGAAAGGTGAGGCGGGGAGCGCCAAGGAAGGCCAGGCTGCCCCGCGCACCGGCACATTGCAAGGACGCCAGCAGCAGCTACCGGTGCTGCTAGAGTCCAGCTCCCATGAACTAGATACCAAGATAAAGCACTGGAGCATTTCGTTAGCAGGCAGCGTGCCTCAAAAATTAGCTCCTCTTATTTGTTTGAGAAGAATTAGCATTGTGTTTTCTTGCTCACTTATATGTATGTCATGGTTTAACTCCACGAAGCCGCTCTCACAAA